AAAAAAGAACTTGGAACAATTTAAAATAATATATTTTGAAGTTTGAAGATCTTGTTAACTTGAAGTAAGAAGATCTTCATCTAAAATACTGTTCTCTAATATTAGTAAATAGTAAATAAGTAAAACAAAAAGGCAATGTTATATAGTAATATTTATTTTGAAACAAACTTTCTAACATTCTAAGGTCTCATTTGTTTACACTTAATAGAGGTCTAAATCTAAATCATTAAGATTCAGCGCATTAAGTGCGTTTGGTTTTTTGGTATTAATTTGAATCATTCAGATTCATCCTATTAAGTTTAGTTTTTTTTTTATAAAAGCCTCTTCATGGGTCTGAAGAGGTCTAAATAAATTAAATGTGTAGGAGACTCTTAACAACATTCAGACTCATATGATAAGTTATCTAATAATAAATCATAGTTTTTCAGCTTTGGGAGTGCCTTCTTATCTTATAACTAAAATTTTTTTTCTCACACTATTTTTTCCTCATAAGTTTCCATAAATACTTTCAAGTTTTTCTTATATATTAATAAGTTTCTTGTATTAATGTGTGTCAAGAACACAAAATGCAATAATATTTTTGGTGTATTGTTGGTTTTACAGGTTTTTAAATGAAAAAATAGTACTCAAAATCATGATTATTAAAACTTTTAATATTTTTCAAAAGTGATATGTTTTGTTGAAATGAAAATTTTATAATAATTTATTAATATAATGTTTAATTTCACTTTCAAATTCAGATATTGAAATACAAACAATATTAATTATTTAGTGTTTGATTGAGAGACGAGATCTTAATATTCAGATGTGTATTCAGATCAAAATACCTAGATGTTAATGGAAATCTTAATAATCAGATGTTTATTCAAATTCAGACCTTTTAATCTTAATAGAAACAAATGGGGCCTAAATTAAATAAGTAACATTGATGAATAACGTCATCCTTTTGTCTTGAGTGTCACACAAGCAAATTGTGACAAATATCTAACTCTTGAGAAGTTTTATAATATTTGATGAAGATGTTCAGAAGCATATATTTACATCACATTAGAAATTGTTAATTAAATGAATTTAGACTATATCATATTAACTTCATATATTGAAATGTCACATTCTAATGTATATTTTATGCAAATTAATGGCCTTTCGGGTAGTGTAAAATGCCAATCAAGAAGGTCATTCGTCAAAATTCAGAGGAAAAAAAATTAAGGCTATTCGCTGAAACATCAAAGATCACTATCAAAATCGGAGGTAAAGACAACCACATTTTTAAAATAATAAAGATGGTGTGTTCCTTCACAAATTGTTAAAAAGAAGAGAAAAGGTGAATGTACAAAATGCAACGTAGAGACAATAGAAAAATATTGAGTGAAGGGAAAGGACATATATATTTCATGTAATCGTCAAGATAAATTTTCTCCTTTTTTTTTTACTTAATTCTTCAATTGTTGATAGAACATTGAATCAACATGCACAAAATCAAGATAAACAGCAGAACATCATTGCTGTGCAAAAACATCGGAAGAACAACTTGCAGATCCAAGAGGAAGAAAAGAAAGTGTCTTTGTCTTTCAATTTTTAGCAGGAATGTTTTAATTATTAAATCCTATTTTAATTGTGCAAACAACAACAACAAACTTGTGCAAAGAATAAAAATGAACTTGTGCAAAGAATAAAAATGAATGAAATAAAAATTATTTAACTCTATTTTACTCTAATTTATTTTATTTAAAAATGTCTTTCCGGGACATTACATTATCCACCGCTAAAAAAATTTTCCTCCAACATAACGTGAAAGAAAGTACCCCAAACTTAAAAAAGTTAAGGATATGCAATACGCATGGACTCGGTCTACCAAGTTGCCTCTCCAATTGAACAATCCTTCCATTTCACCTTCACTGAAGCAATATCCTTGGTCGTAATAAGGTTTTCAAATATTCCTATCTAATATAGATATAGGATCCTTCTGGAATGTCAAGTCTGGACCCAACTCGACTGAACCTAGTGATACCACATTCGGAATATACTTCTAAGAAATGAAGACATGGAAAAAGGATGAACTACTCACAAACTAGGTGGCGAGACCAATTTATATGCTACTTCTCCCACTCGGCTCAAAATCTAAGTAGGTCCAATTAATGTAGGGCTAAGCTTTCCCCTCTCCCCGAACCTGATCAGACCTTTCCTGGTTGATACTTGGAGTCAAACATGATCACCCTCTATAAACACTAGGGATCAAATTCTTTATTCTGAATAACTCTTTGGTCGTCAGTCTATCCTAAATCATATAGACCTAGTCAATCGCATCTCTAAGAAAGTATGTATCCAAGGAGATCATTTCGGCTGAATCAAATCAACCACTCGAAGACCTACACCGTCTATCATACAATATCTCAAATGGAGCCATCTGAATATGATAACTGTTGTTGTAGGCAAACTATGCTAAGGGTAAAATTTATGTACATTCTTCAATGTACTCCATTAATAAATTTTGATTGGTGTGAGAATAGCCAAATAACACTATAAATACCAGTAAATTTCTCCTAGATTATCTTACTCTTTTTTATGTTCTACTATTCTCTTTTTTGTTTTCTATATAATGATATAGATACATGTCGTCAAGAAGCTAATTAAAGAGAAGAACATATAACTTCACTTTGAAATTAAAACAGGGAGGCATTCTTACACTTTAGTTCAAGTATTAAACTTAAAAGTATAAGCTATGAACTATATATTCATTTAGATTTTTTTTTTATGTTAGCTTATGATTTTAGTTTTTCTTTTTCATTTTGGAGTTAAGGTATGATTTTCCAAAATAAATTTGGTATGTGATCCATATTCTAATATTATTGTCTATTTTCATTGATGTGGACATTTTTTTTCTATTTGTGTTATATTCTTTTTAGTGATACTTAATTGACAAAACTTCTAGCAATACATGAAGAGTTTGATTATACTTAATAATTTATGCAATGTGCTTTGTTTAATTAAAAATAATATAATAAAGATTGATAAAATATTATTATTTTTAATGAAAGATTTTGATTGTGTTATCTTATAGTCTATCTAACATAATGTTGCAAATACATACATATATTGTTTATTTTCACCCTTTTGTTTCATTACTTATTTTTCTACAATTTAGACGATATGAGATTTAATAATTTAATATTCAAGGAAAAAATGAGAGTTACATTTACCTTTATGCGACAGTAAGCCTAATAGTTTTCTTAAATATAAGCAATATATATTAATGATAACTTTTCATAGTTTTAAAATTCAAATGTTTGGTAGGATAACCATTTTACTTTTGGACATTTTGATTTTCTTTATGAATATCATTTATTGAAAGTAGAAAGAGTCTAAGTGAAAAATTAAATAACTAAAATGTTTGTTAAAAGCATATTTATCATTTTATTTTATTTTTTTTATAAAAATTAATTGTCTACTTTCTGCTGGTGAACCGCGCCTTTCAACTAAAGTAATCTATGATCACTATCCTGTTTTTCCTTAACACCCGCTACCAATGAAGATTTTAATGTATTCTGAACTGTCACACCACCATCTGACATGTCTGTAAGACCAACACCTAAGCGAGCAAGCCGGTGAATATTTTTTTGCTAATTCCTTCTTTTATTCCTCAACATGTGCTATACTTCATATAGACAGTCTACTCTAAGCATCAATTCACTACATTGGCCTTGCAAGGATATTAAATCACATTCACATCATAGTCCTTGATGAGTTCAAGCTATCTCCTCTTATGAAGATTCAACTCTTTCTGTATGAACACATACTAAAGGCTTTTATGATTTGTGAACACATTTACGTGGACACCATACAAGTAATGTCTCCAAATATTTAAGGTAAATACTATAGCTGCAAGCTCGAGGTCATGAGCCAGGTAGTTATTATCATGGACCTTAATTTGTTGCGAAGAATAAGATAACCTTACCTTGCTGTATAAATACACAACCTACGCCAACCCTAAATGCATCATAATAATTACATAGCCGTCTGAACTATCTGGTAGAGTCAAGACCAGAGCTGTAGTCAACCTAGTCATCAATTCTAAGAAACTTTTCTCACACTCATCTAACCACTAAAATTTGACCTTCTTTTGAGTCAACTTGGTCAATGGGGGAAGCTATGGATGAAAGTCCTTCGAAAAATCTCCTATAATAACCGACCAAACCCAAGAAACTTCTGATTTGTTGGAGAAGTGGGTCTGGAACATTGTTTCAGTGACTCTATTTTATGAGAATCCACTTGTCACGAGCCAGGAGTACCCCTTTAGATGTAACATGGCATATAGAACCCCAAAGGACTTTATAAAATCCACTTAGCATATCATTACATAAGCAACAGAATAATAAGATAAAAAATTCGCTACAAGTTTATAATTTTCATAAAAGAAAAGGCGAAGTCTAGACTCTAAGTCTCAAAATAGCCATTTATTCTGATATGCAAAATAAAAAGAAACATATCCCATAAAACATAGTCCGAGAAGGAAATACAGAAATGAAGGTACAATGTGAAACCATCCATTCTCAAATCATGAAGATTAATAAAAAAGTTAGGAGAATAAGCAAACCCAAGCTTTAGCGAAAAGGATTATCATCCTGAAAACCGGACCATACACTTAGGGAAATGTAGGAAAAGTAGGCGTTATTACAAGAATGCATTGAGTATGATAGACATGCATAAAATTTTAAAAAATTCCAAAACTGACATTTTAGTTGAAAGCATGCATTTTACTAACATTAAACATCATTATGAATAAAGTGGAAAAACATACGTCATAATCATTGTCAACATATATATCAATATAACATAAGAGAAACATAACATTAGTAGCGTCAAATAATACTTATGCAATGCATGAATGAGACCCCATAAAATCTCACCGATGTTAAGTATAGCTTCTTGAGTAGTTATAGTTCACAGTTCACATTCTTGTTAATAGTGTTATTGTGAAAAAATAATCCTCAAACGACATATACCATGTGAGCTATACATAGAATCAAGTATCTACCCTACACCGAAAAGAGTTATCTTACTTGCCTATGGTAGAATCATATTCTTAGCTTAGGTGGATCCACTAGTTTATGAGATAAGGAAATTTCAATTTTAATCCGGAATCAACTATGATGCAAGCTACTCATCTCATGAAACATTCTTTGGAAACCGAAATCAACTAGCGTATGAGGAACCCATTGGGAAACCGGACTCAAGTAGAGTAAAAGCTCTCATCTCATATAAAATATGCATTTCGTGCTAAGCGTTTATTCCCACAGAGTTCACATTATGTCTTGAATTAAGATCATAATCATGGAAGAATTTATTAACACTCAATCCAACATAATACATTAGATAGCTCGTAGATCATGCTTGAGAATAGCCTTTCACCGTCCATGTCTTCGTATAGATTCTATAGGTGAGAAAGCCTTTCGACCCTAGCATCATGATATTGTGAGAAAACATTTCACATCATAACTTAATCATACATACGTGTGTGAATGAGAATATCCTTTCAACAACACACAAAAAGATCATAATCATAATCATTTTACTCTCAAAGTGTTCATAGAGCATATACATAAATTCTGATAATCATGCAAAATTCTCATGCTTTATACTTAAAGGATTCAAGATCATATTTCATCAACACATATATAATTGCTACATTATAAATCAATATAATCATAATTCAAGTAATCAATTTACTACATGCATAATCTCATAATATATTTCTATCATCAACAAACTCGCATTGCAAAATCATAATTTGGAAATATGAGGAATTCATGGATTCTTGGTGAATTCAATATAATACCATATAATATAATAAATTTATACATAATATAACATAAATCCATAATTATAAATGATCTATAAAGGAATCCATGAGTTTTGAATCAAACCCTAATTATTAGGGAATTCTATCATTGAAATTGAGATTTTAAAGGGGCTTCATGGATAAATTCTATCCACAGAGGAAGAGATACCATACCTTAGCAATGAAATCCAATGAATTTGATTATAAAATCTTTATTTTTGAACCCTAACTCCAACTTCCGTATTCTTCTTCCATGAAGTTTAAGGGAAAGAGTTTTTGGAGAAGAGATGGTTTTGTTTTGGAATTTTGGAATAATGAGGAGGATGAATTAATATAGAGGTCTATAATACTTATATAGTTATTCAACTTCTAAATAAAATGATACCACTTAATATTAATTAAAACTGGAAGATCCCAAAGTGTCCCTAAACTAACTCCCTATAATAGTTCCCAGGTCACCACCCATGACCCACCACTGATGGACAGTGGTTGGACCCATGGCACATATTAGTGAACCGTGCTTCAGTTCTACGAATTGGTTCTTGGGACATCAACCCACGATTCCTCACCCACGGGGCGTTGTTCCCCTTCTTGGGTCACTGTTCGAGTAAATTTTGTCTTTGGGGGTCATACCTTGACGTTCGAATACAAACATTTTTATTTTTAGGTATGGAAAGTTACATTCATGACTCTAACCCTCACGTTAAGCTCTATTTTAGCCTTCTAATTTTTGGGGTATTATACCTCTGAGATTGCTTTGCTAAATACAACATGACAAAGGAAAACGAATGATTGTAACTTGAATTCACATTTGTTGAACTTAGCAAATAAGTGAAGATCTTTGATATATTGCAAACAACTCTTAGATGAGTCATATTCTCCTCCTTATTCCGAGAATAAATGATGATACAATCGATAAAGATGATAACAAACAAGTCGAAATATTTTTTGAACACCTTATTCATTAAGTCCATGAAAGGTGCAGGACCATTTGTTTGTACAAAATACATAACTAAAAATTTATAGTGACCATACCGAGTCCTAAAGGTTGTCTTCGAAATGTCACTATATTTGGCTCTAAGTTGATGCTAACCAGATCTGAGATCTATTTTATAAAAGCAACTAGCACCCAAAAATTGGTCGAACAAGTCATCAATCCTAGGGAAGAGATACTTATTCTTGGTTGTGACTTTGTTCAACTAACAATAGTGATGCACATTTTGACAGAACCATCTTTTTTTTTCACGAACAATAAGCCCATGGAGAGATACAAGGTGTGATCAAGAACTTATCTAGAAGGTATTTCAATTACTCTTTTAATTCCTTAAGATCCGCTATAGACATTATGTAAGGATTGATCAAATAGGCTGGGTATATCAAATGAGATCAATTACGCATTCAATTTCCCTATAAAAAAAACTGCAGGAAGATCTTCTTGGGACACTTTTGGAAACTCACTTACTATTGGGGCTGAGTCAAAAGTTTGGATCTCAAAGTTTGAATCCTTATCTCGAACAAGGTGATAGAAATACACATTTGAAATCATTTTTCTGGTCTGAAGGTAAGAGATTACTCGATCCATGGGCACTGGAATACTAACCTTCCATTCTAAGACTGACTCCTTTAGAAATTGAAATCGAAGGATCCTATTTTTACAATCGACTTAGGCGTTACAAGAATATTAAAAATCCATGCCTAGAATCATATCAAACTCTACTATTTCAAATGCTACAAGATCTGCTGAGATGATCTTTTGAGAGAATATGATAGGGTTATTTTTGACTTCCCGTCTAGCTAAAATTGGGTCACCAAATCCAAAAGATACTAAGAAGGGTTGTCAAAAAGTTTCTGGTCTGACATTGAAGTTTACCTCTATATAAGGAGATAGAAAGGACACTATAGCCGTTAGATCTAAGAATGCATAAACATCAAAATGAAATACTCGTAATATACCAGTGACCATATTTGGAGAATCTTTCTAGTCTTGGCGAGCATAGAGAGATAAAACCTGCTATGGCGCTGACCATCACCTGTACCAGATGAAGCACCCAGGTGAGTTGGGTGACCTACTGGTGCGGCTGGAACTGTATACTGAGCCCTATTATTGTTACCTTCATTCCTCTTCCCAGTAGAAGTCTTCATATCCTCTAACAACATAACATTCCTAGTCTCTGTCTTCATCAAGTAGGATACCCCAAATAGAAACTTATTTACTTGTGCCCTTGGTTCAACAACTATATATGGGGCATACCTAGAGAGTTGGGTGAACTTATTTTTGTACTCTAGGATGACATGGTATCTTCCTCAAATTCTTGAACTCCTGATCTTTAGACTCCCTCAACCCTCTCAGGAGGAACCTATTTAGAAAAGCTCCAGTCATATACTCTCAAGTTAGAGTAGCTCCATTCGCACCCCTATTTTCTTTCAACCAAATGAACCAAATGTGAGCCACATCCTTACGTTGGTAGGATGCCAACTCTACTCTATCATTACCAATCACTTGCATCACTCCAAATATTTCTTATCCGCGTCAATGAAGTTCTGTCGATCCTTACCAATCTACCACCCTAGAAACTTAGGCGGATTTATCTGAACAAAATCTTGAACCCAAGATACAGTTGATCCACCATTTGTCTTAGTAGGAACTGGCACCTTCTAATTGTTCTAGTTGGCTATACTCTTATCAAAAATTTGGATCGCATTATGAATTTTTGCATTCAAAACCCATGGTATGAGACCAATGGAATTTCATTAGCATTGCATGAATTAGAATTCCGTGCAAAAGCTCTACGAGGATGCATGACCTGAAACACATAACGAAAAATTAGAAACGATATTATTCGATACCCACAAAGGATAAGAATAAGAAAAAAGTGAAGCTTTTCCTAAAAAACCGCGTAGCCTTTCTTTTATAGATGTGGTGGGCTTCACACCCCTGAAAGATACTTTTACTTAATGTGGCTTTCAAACATCGTATGATTCTTGAACCTAATGCTTTGATACCAAGTTTTTCACGATCTGAAGCTACCCCTTAATGTACACACGAGACTTACGATCATGAGTTACCCCAAGATAACCCTGAAGCTGGCATATCATAAGCATAGTCAAACAATCTGAATAAAGAGATACTATATGGAAGTTAAAGTAATGGTAACTTAAAGTGGGAAATATCAACTAGTCTGAATATATGATTTGTACTAAGAGTTCAATAACAACTAAAATATCAAACTCCAATCTAAAGCTGCAACTATTACTATGTTGAAAAGCCTTAATATAAGCTATCATTATCAAGTAAAGAATCCAACTTGTAGGTTGAGGTCGATCCTATGAGGAATATGGTTTAGACTAAAACTTAACTCACTATTATATTCATTTAGACAAATTATTTCCGAGACAAGTAAGTAAAAGTGGAGGGGGGTGGAACAAATAACTGATTGTTTTTTAGAGAGAAAGTGAACAAGATTCAAACTTCGTTGTTATCGATAAGAGAACGTAACTAGGGTATATGTTTTCCACATAAGCTCATAATGCGGTAATCCTTATAATAGTAATTATTTCCTAGTGTATTACATGTAAAGTTATTAGTTATGTATCTCTTATTCCTTTGTTCGACAACTACGTATTTCACCCCACACCTTGGCCTGACTACGTGTTTATAATTTACTAACCCTAACCTTTACCTCATAGTAGACATCACATCAACGTATGACTTAGTTTCAACATCACACCAAGTTACATTAGATTTTATTAGATATTATCATACTAAATCTATGTTGGTAGTTCTTTTCTCATTTACTACCTCCTTGGTCCAAAAAGTAGCAACAAGTCAAGTTCTAGTATTTGCAACCGCTAAAAGAACTTCTAATATAAAAAATTATCAATGCATGCATTAACAATATTCAAGAGTTACTTAGTTAGTATTCATACTTTATCCATCGCTCATGGCTCCCACAACCCTTATTGCAGATTTAATTACCCATAATAGCAAGAACAAAATTCATATTTGTAGAAGAATTCATGAACTTACATAATGAGAAGAAGATATCCAAAAACCCAACTTGAATTTCAAAAATAAAATCATCATGAATTGAACTTAGGAAATCAATAATTGCTAAAGTTGCAAGTTAATCTCCAAAGTCAAAACCTAGAACTAAAATAATAGTGTTTAACCCCAAAAAATGTGGTATACATGACCTATAAATTGAAAAACATGTACCAAATAAAAATGAAATCAAATAAGGAAATAAAGTTTCTAGACATGATTTCGATCTACGATACTAACCTCCAGATCGTAGACGAACCTATGGTCCATAGGTCCTTTATAATGTTAGGGACTTAAAGAAATTTTCCAAAGCTCAAACTCACCATTTATCAATAACAATCGACAAATCAGCAGGATAGACCATGGTTCGATCCACGGTACTTGGATCCTCCTCTGTATCTCCATAATTTGACTTTTAAAAAAGGGTACTTGAACCCGCTTCTCTAAATCATTCGACGAAACTGCAGGATGGACCGTAAGTCGACCTACTATGCGTCATTTGTAACTGTGGTTCCACACTTGGTCAAGAATTCCATTATTTACCTTCAACCCTTGACTATCCATATATGTATACCATCTACGGATCATGACTGGACCTATGGTCTGTAGGTCACATTCGTAGATTCCCTTTTCGGCACAAAATCTCAGTTGTGTCTCTCCACTTCCACATCCGAACTTATTTCCTATGAACATGATTAAATTACATTAATACCAATAAAAATGTCCCTAGATACACATAATTCTTAAGTGAAGTATATTAAAAATACCGTTAACTCACGGTATATCAGCACTGTTAACTTAAATTTGTTGTTTGTCCTCAAGTGACACACTAAGACTTAAAACGACACTTTGTATATAAGAAAAAATTCAAGTAGAAGAAATCACAGGACTTTGTATCCCAACTCCCTCTTGAATTTCAAATCTTTTCTCTTAGACTCAACAAACTAACTCATGCGGATCAATATACGACAAAGATCGGCTACTATACACTGTTTCACTATAACTAAGGTACCAACTCTCCAACAATGTAACTAGTGCCCTTTGAAACTACACTATTAACTCTTACCATTTTACCTTCTTTCTGTTGACTTTTTTCAATGACTCTGTAGCTTTTTATTATTTAATTACTTTATTATTTTTCTTGTATTTTATTTTTCAACATTTTTATTCATCATGTTATGATTCTTTTACACAAAGTCACATCCTCTTCTATCTTTTATTTTTCACTATTAAACACAACTCTTTTCATTCCCATTTTTCTTTCAATTTCCTCT